TGAGTGTGTGTGTGAGTGTGAGTGTGAGTGTGTGTGTGTGTGTGTGAGTGTGTGTGTGAGTGAGTGTGTGTGTGTGAGTGTGTATGTTTTGACTGACCAGCGAGCACCACCTCCAGCAGATCTCCGTCCCGTATGTCGTGTTTTTCAGTGAGTCTCTGTAAGATCTGCTCTGTGTTCGGCTCATGTCTGAATAACAGCAGCTTCTCACCGAGACTCACGACACTGCACTCCGGAGCCTTAAACACACACACAAAAACACAAACATTAAACATACATTGGCTATTTGATTTGACTTGAACTCTGAAGTGCACGACACTTGCACGCTGTCAACAACATGCAAATTATTCTAAAAATGACAGAAAAGTATAATAAAATCTAAATATTATGTGAAATATCATTATGCAACAAAAGTAATACCAAACATCGTCATAGAAAGTAAGCAAAAAACTTAAAATGTAAATAAATATTTTAAATACAATGTATATTATAAATATGAAATAATAAATATATTATAATAAATATTACATATAAATATTAAATAAATAAGCAATAAAACAATAAAACATTTATAAACAATATATTTTACATTATAAATATTAAATAAAATAAATTAAATAGAATAAAATAAAATCATAACACATTAAAAAATTATGCAACAAAAGTAATGCAAAAAATCATGTCAGAAATTAAGCAATGAAACAAATAAAAAACAAATAAAAATTTGGAATAATACAATTTATATCATGAATAATAAATATTAAATATAGTAAACAGGTAAATACAATCATCATAAAACAATAAAATACTGTGTTAATGCAACAAATGTAATACCAATCTTCATGTCTAAAACAAACAAACAAATGAATAAATGAAATCCTCATAACACAAAAATACTGTTTTAAGCATCATAATGCAACAAAAGTAATACAAAACACCAGCAATAAAGAAATAAAACATCTAATATCTTAAGACTTCTAGCATTCTTGAACAAACAAGAAGACTTGTACTACTAATTTATTTGAATTAAACTTTTTAATCAAGTTGTTTTTAAGAGACTGTGCTATATTGTTAAAAGAATTTCAGAAATTTGGCCCTCAAGAATACAGCAAGCTCCTGCACCGTTTCACAGTACAGACACACGATCAAAACACTGAAAAACGACTCAAATGTCTGTCATGTCTGTTCTCTTCTACAGTGCATTTCTCAGGGTGTAAATAAGATCGTCTAATATAATCACAACCACACACTCATACAGACGCACGCTGGGCACAAACGCTCCTCTAAGAAACATGTGCGTTCAGTCTGTGTCTGAAGCCGCAGCTCTAATCATCAGATGAGGGTGAAAGTGGGTCAGATCATGATGGCACTGCAGCGGCTGAACGACTGCATAACTCTCATGCCGATGGCTCTTAAATGTCAATCATTCGTGTTTCAATTCAAACGGATGTGAGTCAAACTGAGACTCCCCTCAATAACTCACACCTGATATTCAATCCAAGGTCTGTGAACTCTGAACACATTAACTGTATTAAAAACAACGTGAATTGTACTCATTTTATCTGGCTAACAATATTGAGACTACAAAATCATGGAGTGCTTTTGTGCCAATATAAATTGTTTACATGCCTAAATAAAGGAAAGTGGGGTAAACAGGGCTCGTTTTGAAAACCCCAGATAGCACACGTGCGTCTGCAAGATGTCTGTTAAAGATCGCTTGATCTGGAAAGCATCTGCTGTGTACAAACATCTGACAGACGTCTTTAAGATGTCAGTTTTACGTGCATTCTAAATCATAAACATCTTAAAGACATCTTCTAAACGTCTGATAGGAAACGTCCTATAGACGTATTGCAGATGAGCGAACAAATAAAAAAATATGTCTTGCAGACGTCAAATAGACTATCAGGGACGTTCTCGTCTATATGCGAAACTTTTCAAAAACGCCAAGGAATCGTTTTTGCGTAAATGAATTAATTTGTCATGTGCATTATTTATTTATTGATTGATGTGAATTGCAACGCTAGGGGGCAATCTTTCAATGACAGCACTAAAATAAACATGCGATTACAGTTTTTTGTGGGAAATACGATGCAATAATAACCGCATTTTTTAACATCTACTTTAAAAATACCACAGCATTTCACCATCACAGTAAATACTTCATTAGCTCAATACCATATTCACAGCTTCATTGTGTGCTTTCTTTGTAATTTAGGCCTTCCTCTTCCACATCAGCTTCAAACAACATTCAACTTCCTGTTTGAGACTAAACACTAACGAACGTCTGAGAACACGCTCACTCTCAACGTAAATGCATGACAAACAGACAAAAAAGGCGAAAGTAAAAGCAGATATTAAAAGAAAAAATAAACTGGTTTCTCTATGATACTTTAACGATAAGGGTTCAGGGTGTTAAACCCACTTGAAAGGTCTGAAAATTTGACAAACACACTATCAAACTGCACTTCCGTTCCATCCTGTTACACGCCACTCCAGAAGCTGGTCAGGGTGTCGCTTTGTTGTGGTGCTGCGCAGATGTGAAGTGTTTACCTCATTTTCAGATCACTGGAGCTTCTGGAATCACTCCGCATGAAACCTCTCAAAATGGGATACGCTTCACATAGCGTACTATGTCTTTACCCGCAGAAGGGTCGTTCACAAGCTGTGCATGTGCAATAAAGATGCTTCATTGCTGACATTTCCCTGAGATCACAGAGACGTCTATTTGACATCTGCAAGACGTATTTTTTTGAGTGTTTGCTCATCTGCGATACATCTACAGGACGTTTCCTATCAGATGTCGAATAGACGTTTAGAAGATGTCTTTAAGATGTTTATGATTTAGAATGAATGTAAAACTGACCCCCAGATAGCACACGTACGTCTGCAAGATGTCTGTTAAAGACCTCTTGATCTGGAAAGCATCTGCTGTCTACAAACATCTGACAGACGTCTTTCAGATGTCTGTTTTACATACATTCTAAATTATAAACATCTTAAAGACATCTAATAGACGTCTATTTGACATCTAAAAGGAAATGTCTTATAGACATATTGCAGATGAGCAAACACTCTAAAAAAATACGTCTTGCAGACGTCAAATAGACATCTCCGAGATGTATGTGTGCTATCAGGGACACCTTAAAGACGTCTATGAGATGTTTGTACACAGCAGATGCTTTCCAGATCAAGCGATCTTTAACAGACATCTTGCAGACGTACCCGAGCTATCTGGGTTCTGAGCTTTGGTTCCTCTAATGGATCGTAGGTAGATATTCACCTCGCCCAGTGATCTTTCTGTTTTCTGTTTTCTAAGGTATCCAGTTATTTCGATGTGAGAAACCGCTGCAAATGATTCAGTGCGAGAGTGAACTGTCTGAATGAATCGAATTGAATCCCAAACAATTTCAGTCCTTTTTTCAAAACCATTTGACCGATTAGATCAAAAGTGATTCGCGATTCTCAAATCTGGACTGGCATCACCCGATTCAACCCGACAAGGTTGGTGAAATATTGTCAGGTAAAAATTATTCTTAGGTCGTTATTAGACAGTATTTTATCAGTAATAATATTATCCACCTCATTTTGCAATGCGGAAGAAAGACATTTTCGGGTGAATGTGCGAGACTTCTGTCACATTAGTCACTAGAAGACTCAATGTGAGAAACCACTGGAAACGATTCAGTGCGTGAGTGAACTGTCTGAATGAATCAAATTGACTCACAAACCATTTCAAACTGTTTTACGGATTAGATCAAAAGTGATTCATTTTCGAATCTGGCATCGTCTGATTCATAACAGCTGACTGAAAACACAAGACTTGATTGGTGAAATGTTGTCAGGTTAAAAAAAACAAAACGGAAGTGAGCTATTTTCTTTGAAAGTGCCAGACTTCTGAGTAGCCGCTACTGGTAAATAACTAAAAGAATAACAAAGTACATATTATGTAAAAATAATATGATAAGAAATATCAGTTTGCACTATCAAGCAGCATAACGGATTGTTTTTGTACAGCTAAAATAACTGGAAGTGAATGACACAACGGAATTTGCGCACTTACATAAAAGATAAGGTGGATCCTGAAGCACAGCAGTATTTTACTGAAGCTCATGCCCTAGTAAAAAGGGTCTAGTGAAACCCTGGTTCACAGTTAGCAACTATTCTGCAACCCTTTTTTCAGGCCAAAACCCTTTATAGATATAGATATGAACTATTTTTTAACAAAAATTGAATTGCATGAAACCAAAAAATAATTGGGGACCAACCACAGTACCATCACAGTCCCCTAAATGTAATTTGCCAAAATGTGCAGTATAACACCGCACACAACTGCATCCCACAATGCAGTGCAATGCACTTGACTTGACCTTACATTTGCAATGAACCGCTAACCATGTTTTATTTATTTCCCCTTGATTTTGTGTTCGGATCTAAGATGCTTTTATAAAAACAAAAAGAGAAGGAAGTGCAACATTTTTAAACCATAATTAAAATAACAATATTTTCATATAACCGTATTTCTGAGACAACTGAAATTAAACAAGCAATGTAATGAGGTCATGTAAAAATATTAACATTTATTGTAATACACAATACGATTCCCATACTATTTATAGAAAACTGTTGATACTGTAAAGTATGCATGTACGTATGTGCATGTCTCTAATGTATAATGACGTTAGGTGAGATCAGTTAGCGTTCATGTGTGTGTATATGGGAGCATATCCAATGAAGGTCACTGTGTTTGTGTGTGTGTGTGAGATGATCCTGTCCCACTGCAGTGGAAACGGCACCATAAGAAGGTCAAGCAGAGAAACAGGTGTGTGTGTGTGTGTGTGTGTGTGTGTGTATGTGTGTGAGAGTGAGTGTGTTAGGGGAAGAGTCTGTGGTTGGAAAGTTACATGCAGATGCTGTGAACCACAGCGGACAAACAGAGGCGGCCGGAGGGGGAGAGATGCTGAAGGAGGGCTGAGTTACTGATGAGTGTGTGTACCTGTTTTTCTATTCTGGTGGGGACTTAAACCTGAATACACACAGACTCATGGGGACTCGTGTCACGGTGGGGACCTAAATTGAGGTCCCCACGGGTAAACAAGCTAATAAATCACACAGAATGAAGTTTTTTGAAAATCTAAAAATGCAGAAAGTTTACTGTAAGGGGTAGGTTTAGGTGTAGGGTTGGTGTAGGGCAATAGAAAATACGGTCTGTACAGTATAAAAACCATTACGCCTATGGAGAGTCCCCACAAGGATAGCAAACCAGACATATGTGTGTGTGTGTGTGTGTGTGTGTGTGAATGTTTGAGTAGCACCTAATTCAGTAGCATCTTGACACACACTCTCTTTAACTTCCCCTTCTTTCACAGAAACAAAGAGGTGTGAATTCTTCAAATAATTTTAAAAAATTGCACACAAAGGTTAAAACCCTAAGACAAGAATTAATATTGATCATACTTACTGTTGTGCATAGCAACAGCCTAGCAACTACCCAGGACAACTTGGCAACCGCATAGTGATCTGCTAAAAACACTCTGAGCACCTTAGTTATCGCATAGCAACAGCCTAGCAACCACCCAGAACAACCTGGCAACTACATGGCAATCTGCTAAAAACAATCTGAGCACCTTAGTTATCGCATAGCAACAACCTAGCAACCACCTGGAACAACCTGGCAACTACACGGCAATCTGCTAAAAACACTCTGACTGAGCACCTTAGTTATCACATAGCAACAGCCTAGCAACCACCCGGAACAACCTGGCCAATGCACGGCAATCTGCTAAAAATCACTCTGAGCACCTTAGCAACCGCTTCGCAACAGCCTATCAACCACTCAAAACAACCTGGCAACTGTTCACTGATCTGCTAAAAACTACTGTGACTGAGCACCTTAGCGACCACATAGCAACAGCCTAGCAACCACCCAGAACAACCTGGCAATCTGCTAAAACTACTCTCTGAGCAACATAGCGACCACCAACAGCCTAGCAACCACCCAGAACAACCGAAACTGCACAACTATCTGTCAATCAATACACTCTGAGCACCTTAGTTTCCACATAGCAACAACCTAGCAACCACCCAGAAGAACTGAAACTGCACTGCAATCTCCTAAAACACTCTGAGCACTTTAGTGACCACCTAGCAACAGCCAAGCAACCACCCAGAACAACATAGCAACCTGCTAAAACTACTTTTGAGCAACTTAGCAACCGCATAGCAACAGCCTAGCAACCACCCAGAACAACCTGGCAACTGGCCATCTGCTAAAACTACTCTGAGCAACATAGCGACCACATAGCAACGCCCTAGCAACCACCCAGAACAACTGAAACTGCACAGCTATCTGGCAATACACTCTGAGCACCTTAGTTTCCACATAACTACAACCTAGCAACCACCCAGAACAACCGAAACTGCACTGCAATCTGCTAAAACACTGAGTACTTTAGCGACAGCCTAGCAAACTCCCAGAACAACCTGGCAACTAGCAATCTGCTAAAACTACTCTGAGCAACATATCAACCACATAGCAACAGCCTAGCAACCACCAAAACTGCACAGCTATCTGTTAATATGCTCTGAGCACCTTAGTTACCACATAGCAACAGCCTAGCAACCACCAAAACTGCACAGCTATCTGTTAATATGCTCAGAGCACCTTAGTTACCACATTGCAACAGCCTAGCAACCACCCAGAACAACCAAAACTGCACTGCAATCTCCTAAAACACTCTGAGCACTTTAGTGACCACCTAGCAACAGCCTAGCAACCACCCAGAACAACCAAAACTGCACTGCAATCTCCTAAAACACTCTGAGCACTTTAGTGACCTCATAGCAACAGCCTAACAACCACCTAAAAACTCTGATAAAAATGAGCATATGACAGTCAATATTCATGGACTTCACAATCTGTTGAAGGTGAACTCAGACTGCATGTTTGTTTTTTAGGCACCTGTTGTGAACCAATCATTGTTTAAACCGCCAATGAAGAAATGAACAATGTCGTTTAACGCACTAAAGGCAGAAGATACAATACGTTTGATGAATCTGTGGGTCCTGCTAACGTTCCTATTTAAAACTGAAAGGCTGAAGGCAATGAAAAGGTGCTTTTGTTGTTGTTGGAGAGAGAGACAATAGTCCAGGCGGCTGTGTGTTGCAGTGGTTTGTATGGATTGTCTGTGTGCGCTTGACCCTTTGACTGTGGAAAGCAGCCTTCACTGAAGTCATTGTCAGTAATGCTGTTATTAGACTGGGTGTTTGACTGACACTGCATGAACGCGCAAACACATACAGGAATAGTTGACCAAATATGTCAATTCTGTCATCATTTATCCAAAGTGTACCTAAATTTAAATTGTAAACGATATAAAACGTAACTCTTAAATCTCAGTCAGATTCACATGTATTCAAACAAGATGCATCAGAACGTGTTGCACCAGATTTGACGTTTGTGTGACGTATTTGAACATATTTGAACATTTATGATGAGTAAAATTATTTTCAGCATTCAAAGCTATTGTATTGTATTGTCTTGTATTATAATCAGTGCTGGGTACATTACAGATTACAAAATTAGGTACATGTAATTAGAGTATACTAAACTTTAAAATGCTCATAATCAGATTACAGTTACTTTTTTATGGATTACATGATTGCATATTATTCAAACCTGGAAGACTTTTGGCATGTAATGTCATTGCTGTTTTCATATTTATTGATGTTTGTTCAGATAATGCAAATGTTTTTTTGTCAGTCAAACCCCTTAGACATAAAACATTTGCTTGAAATATCTCAGAGGAAGTTAATATTTCAATAATTTAACAACTCATTTTCATGTTTACAGTTCTCGGATGTTGGTCAATGGTCACATTGACATGCAGGTAAACAAATAATAAATTTCTATTTTCAGTGTTCGACTGTTTAAATTATTTTTATTTAACATTTTTATGATTTAATTATTAGCTAACTCGCAAACCCATCTAAAAGTAATCTAAAAAAAAAGTAGTCAGAAAACACCTAAAATGAGTAATTTCGTTTCTAAGTACAATTTTCATCATGTAATCAGTAACGGATTACATTTGTAAGTAATCGACCCAGCGCTGATTATATTGCACAAACTCCTTTTATAGTGCTTTTTGAGCTCGACTGCCCCATTCACTCAAATGTAGCAGGCATAATTTATTGTGAACTATTTCTTTCAACGTCACAGTCTCAATAAGAACTACGCCTCAAGAGTTGAAGTTCTGCAGTACCTTTCTCTCAATGATTTCGGCTGCGAGATGCTTCGCCTGCTGGAAGCTGAGGTGTCCCTCAGGGATCCGTACGTCCTCTTTGAGGAGCCCGATCTGAAAGTGGACACGTATGGGCCCCTGTGCAGAGGATTGGGGCCCCATGGACAGCTGAGAGAAAGAACCTGAGAGAAAGAGAGCGTTAACTCAGATCAAACGGCACTCCTTTAGACATTCACAGGTTCAACACAACTTACCTGCACCCATCCTGGTGTTTCTCGAAGCGTCTTGTAATTGTACAACTGTTCTATAGCATTACTGCAATAATTGTTCCACTAATTGGTTAATTATTATACACATATCATCATCAGAAAGTCTTTAAACACTTTGGTGTTTGAAGGACCCCAAAGGCTCCTTCAAGTGCAAGGCAACAACTGAAACTAGCATTAACCTGCCAAGATTAACATTAAGATTAAAGCTTAATATAGTCAAGCTCCGAAAGAGGAACTTACCAGAGACATGACTGATGTCAATGCTTTTTGGGCGGTGGTTTGAGTTGGCAGCCATTTTCTTCACATTGGTGTGTTCGAACTAGCACATTTCGCAGCCCCGTTTCAGACACTTCTGCCGCTGCTCTGGTTTCCTTGTGTGAGAGCTTCAGCAGACGAACGACAGGCAGCTGAGACAGGATGTTGATGCTCAAACTTCAGCGTTGTATGTGACGTGTGGGTCTGACGTGCTGCCCACCAAACATTATCTGATGAACTTTAAAACTGTAGGAAACTCAAGGCAAATATGGCAGCACTGGGGTCAACATCTCTTTAGCCTACACAAGGAGTACTTTCAGTTTTATTTTGTGCAAATATGTATTGAATCACTGAACTTTGTCTTGTGCTACAGAGATCCAACTCCAACCCCTGATATTAACCAAAAAACGCTCTGAGCTGCAGAACTAATAACTTTTGAACAATTAGGGAGTTTTCTCTTCTGGATGGATGGAGAAACAGACAGACAGAATGGTAGGTAGATAGATAGATAGAACGATAGAACAATAGATAGAACAATAGGTAGATAGATAGAACGGTAGGTAAGTAGGTAGATAGATAGATGGATAGATAGATAGATATATAGGAAGGCAGACAGATAGACAGATAGGTAGGTAGGTAGATAGATAGATAGGTATATATAGATAGAACGATAGATGGATAGGTAGGTAGACAGACAGACAGATAGATAGATAGATAGGTAGGTAGACAGATATAGATAGAACGACAGACAGACAGATAGATAGATAGAACGGTAGGTAGGTAGATAGATAGGTAGACAGACAGATAGATGGATAGGTAGATATAGATAGATAGATGTATAGATAGACAGAATGGCAGACAGAATTATAAGAAGACAGAATGATAGATAGACAGACATACAGACAGACCAACAGATAAATAATGATAGACAGACAGAGGCTGACAGATAGACAGCACGATAGACAGACAGATATTTTCTTCAGCTGTCAAGCCGACATAATAAAGACACATGAAAACATTACTTTGGTTTGAAAAGCAGAGTTTATTCCGAACCGTTTATTAAAGCATACATGAGGCTGGCTCCTTCACAAGTGAAGCATATCTGAGGAACAGAGCTGCTAGACGCTTCCCTTCACAGCTGATCTGGGGACGCCACAGGCTCCTTCTAACAACGCTACGATTTCTGACTAGGACAGGGGGCGCTGTTCCCAGATCAGTGCAGGAAGGCAGCCTGTGTAACTGCAGCACAATCTAATGTGGCGAGAGGAAGGCATCACAAATCATGACAAACACAGCCAGAGGTGGGTTCACATTCATAAGTGGTGTAAACACGGCATTAATAAACTACACACCCGTCTGTGCTAGAAGCATGAGGAGGCTAACTTACACAAGTGTGTGTTTTTGTGGTCGTGAGTAAAAAAAATCAGTATTTTACAATCAATAATGACATTGATATCTATTGCTCCAATTCCTTGCTCCAACTTCATAAATTTCATCACTTTGTTTTCTCACTTTCAGCTTAATGAAACGTAATCATTAGCATGTACGCATTGGTGATTTTTTGCAATACATTCTATTCGAGAAAATCTCACAAAACCTGCCCAAGGACAAGCTTGTGTCATATTTCACCGCAAAAAAACAAAACAAAGCAAAACAATAAAATTGGAGAATTGCATTCAGCTAAGAATATTTTTAAAGAAAATCAAGCACATTTAAGCATTGCGACATTAACATCAAATAAGCACATTTAAACCTAAATTCTCAAGAATGTATTGCTGTAACAAACAAAATGACTGCATGTCAAATACATTATATTTCAATGATGAATTTTGGGTTTTTAATGTATA